AAAAAAAACTTAAAATAATTATATGGGTCTAATAATATTCAAATAATTAGACACAATGGTGTGCGAAAAGACAAGAAAATCTAGTAATCAAGCCACTTAACTTAAAAACAAGGTAAATAATAAAAGTGAATGAACGTTGAGTGCAGCATGGTCTTGTCGAAACGCAATGAAGATTTGCATGCCATAAAAAAATTGTGTGCATAAAAAATTAGAGCACTGCAGTGGTTGGATAAAAAAATCCAGGAAAGGATTTATTAACTAAATCCTCTAGAGAAGTGTAGGCACTTAAGGGTAGCATACTAAATAAAACGAAAATTTGAAGTGGTAAATCAATTCATCTGGAAGCCCTTACCAGCCAGAAAAATTCCAATGTCAACTTGCGAAGACGCAATAAATTAACTTCTTACTAAATAACTGACGAGCCTCAAAACCTATTTATAGCATGAATCATAATCGAAATTAAGAGGGAAGATAAAAAGCAAACGTAAGAAAAATATTTAGAACGATCCTGTCCATTTCCAACAAAATGTTGGCAATGATTGCTACATTATTAATTAGAATACTGTTGAAAAGCTTGCAGCTAGCCAGTCATCTAAAGCCTCAACAATTAAATAAATTAATGGATTATTCCATCAGACTTTTACAAAAGTGACATTCAAGAAGACGTCTCAAGGAAAATGTTACGGGATGCATGAATGGAGTATTTTACACCAGGAAAAAAATAAATAAATAATATTGACTCAACGTTTGGGCAAGTTACTCTAATAAATCGGAATGTAACCAAAAGGAGGCCATCTGAACCAACAAGCCAGCTAAACGAGAAACCTTGTGAGAAAATAAGGCCAAGTTGCGAAACGTAGTCAAGCTAACAAAAAAGCAGGCATATGAATAAGGTGTCTATGAAAAGCATTTTATAAACAGGGAATGCCGATGAAAATTATACATAAAAATAAACTATCTTTGAATGATTGATAAAAGAAATAAAACATAAAGTTAAACTACACAAAAAATCATCAGAAAAGGCTTTTACATTAAAAAATTAAATCTAACAAAAGCAGAAGGATAAACACTACCCACAGGGGTCCTGAGGTTTGTAAGAAATAAGTTCTGAAGATGATCCATGATACTATTTTTTCCTATTCAATAGTATATTTTAAAGCAATATTCAGTCAGCGTCAAGCAGAAAGAGACGGAGCTAATCTAGGCATGAGATTAAATTAATAAATGCTCTAAACACTTTTATTTTTTAATAACAAAAAGTGAGAGAATTGTTAATGAAAGCAAGCTATTGAGTTTCTATTCCCGAATAGCAAATAATTCCATAGATACACCTAAAAGTTATTTACAAGTGAACAAGAAAGCAATAAAAATACGGTTTTAGAGAGACATTGCGTACCTTCATTTTGGGAGTTTTAGAGAATACTCGTAAGATGGCTAGTTCAGCAGCTACAGTCTTTCCAGAGCCTGTTGGTGCGCCAAGGAGGATATTGACATCTTGGTGATAAAGACTGTGAAAAATCTGCGTCTGGATGGGATTGAAATGGGTGAAGTTATAAAGCTCTTCAAACCGTGGTTCACTGAGTGCTGTAACTGGGAGTGGCTTAAGGCTGAGCAAATCTGAATGAGACAAAAACGGAAAAAAATCGACTGCTTTAACTTTTAACTCCATTTGGTCAAACTTATATTACGAACTGAGGTAATAACATATACTTTAACTCAGCATACCTGATAAGTGTAGGAAGTGCGAATGTTAAGAAAAAACGGTAAATCCTGCTAGTTTAAAGTCAAACTTTACAAAATTAAATTTCTAGAATAATAAAATTGTCACTTTAACCGCGCAAGCGGATTTTGAATCTAAACAAGACGGCAGATACTACCTAAGTGATATCGAAACTGCCGTCCATCCCAGCTAAAAATGACTTTAGGGAGACAAGGCTAAGTAGAAATTATGGCACCATGAGGTCGACTCATTTAATTAAATTTGTTTCTTCGAACAGACAAAACTCACTGAAAACGTCTTTTCGCGATTAAAGAATGCTCCCCATCCGCTTCTCCCTTGCGATCCATTTTCCTCTAGTTAACGGTAGGTCCTTGATCGAAGCGCTTCCTTTGAGCTGGTTTTGTATCTCTGTTTTTTCGGAGTTTTAATAAGCGATGGGCAAAGTTATCGCTAGCCCTACCTTGTTCTAATCTTCTATTAATTCAATTTATTTCACCAAATATGTCAATGGTCTCTCCAATCTTCCGTGTCCAGCCTGTGCTACTTCTGATCTTTCAGTATCCCATTCCCTGTAGAGCCTTTGATATTTTTTGATTTATATGCTGACCTTTCTCCCTGATTCGCCTATATACATCTGTTTGCAGCCGCCGTATGTTGCCCAGTAAACTACTCCATTTCAGTACTTGATCCCGACCGTGGATTTGATTGCTAGAGAAAAATCTCATTAATGTTGTCCGAATAGTAATGTCCCATGTGACCTTAGAAGACATTAACAATCGACCAGAGTTAAGGTGATTATTCTTCACCGATCAAAACAACGATCGGGATCAAGGGATGGAGTGGATGAATTTACAACTTTACATTCTGCCTCTCCAATACGACCAAGTTGGGAAAACGATATCAGACTACATCTAAAAATAGGTAAACTCAATTTTTTTTAAATAATAAGAATTTCCATTCTGAAATAATCAATAAAGTAATTATGGGTTGCCACAGCGCTCCAATGCCAAATATTTCAGCTGCAAACGAAATATGAGTTCCTTTTATGCTATCATATTTTTAATATTCTTAATAAACAAGTTTCGAAAGTACTAGTAGATCTCGGACAATAGCTATAGTCACCTTAGGCTGCAAATGTGATAAAGAGCAATTAGTTGAGCTTTCGCATAATGATAAAAGAAGTTCTCGAAATTCCAATGAAGTGAATGACAGATTTTCGAATACAGTGAAGAATTCATACGAATTTTGCCAAAGAATCAAACGCACTAGTTTGGAACCAGACGAACTTTTGGTGAGCTTAAATATACAGTCCATATACACTAACAGCACACGATAAAAAGCACTAATTGCACTACTGGAGATCTTAGAAAAATATGGCATCCTGGAGACTGAGCGAATAGGTAGAGTCTATAACCCGATTAATCAACCTAACAATAGGAACTACCTATTTCACGTTCAACGACCGCATGTATGGGAAAATAGTTAGTCTTTCTATGGACTCACCACTCTCACTTCTTCTGGCTAATGTCTTCATGGACAAGTTAGAAAAGAATTTCGAAATATCACCCAAGCAGCCAATAGCAACTATGCGATATTTGGATGACTACTTCGCAATCTGGCTTCATGGAAGGGAAAAATTAGACAATTTCCTGATCTTCATAAACGAAATGGATGAAAAAGTCAAATTTACCATGGGTGTGGAAGATAACGGGCACTTGCCTTTCTTAGCTGTGAGGGCTATTCGCTCCGAGGAAACTCTCAAGAAAAGACTCCCCCGAGAGAAATCACATTCTGTAATGACTATTAATTTCCAGTCGAACTATGCTTATGAAATGAAGATTGAAATACTCCGGAGAATAGTCATAAGAAGCTTACGACTGACTAATTCTGAGATCTGGGAAGAGGAACTGGAAAAACTAACTCAGATGTTTTGGGAAATGGATATCCATAAGAAGCAATACAACGCAACATACATATAGTGATCAACAGATGGAAGAACGGAGACTATGAAAGGAAAATAATAGAAGCAAAAGCCAAATTATGGATATGTCTACACTCCTGCGAATCGGCTCGGAAGCTATGACCAATACCAGGGAAATGTAGCATTTATACAATCCTAAAGCAAAGGACAACCCTCCTCATCAGCTTGCCCACACAACATGAAGTTAACAAAATGGAGTGCTCCGGAGTTTACAGCATGAACTGCAAGGACTGTAAATAAAAATACAACGGAGAGACTTAAGGGACAATCAGAATAAGGACCAAAGAGCACCAGCGACTAGGTAGAAAAATGGATACAGAAAGAGTAGAGATAGCTGAACACATCGCCCTTACCGGCCAAACAATTGATTAGGATACAACGGAAAGACTAGCCCCATATGGGGAAAACACTAGGAAATGGAAATTCAGGGAAGCTGTTGACACCCCCTTTCAAAAAAACCTGATGAACAGGAGATTGAAAGAAGGAAGTCAGCGATAATTTCGCGTGCTGCCTTGTCAGACTTTGAGATTCAGTGAAGGCCTACAAAAGAAGACGATTGGACTCAGGACAAATGTTCAACAATAGAAAAGACATCACCAAGGAGCGGCTCAAGAGGAAAAAAGGGAAATCAAGAAAAGGCGACTGCAGTGAGAGCAGTCATACATGAAATTGACCAAAAAATTTACCCAGGAGGGTCCATCTGTGAGACATAGGATGTAAAATTAAAGGCTAAAGGTATAGGAGGGCCAGATATAGGTCATCAGTGTGTTTTTCTTATCTGTGCCTGAAGGAGAGGTAACTAGTGACATGCTTGACCATGGGGGATATCAGCCAACACACACAATCACATAGAAGCATCATCCCAATACCATAGGAATAGATGGGAATGTCAACTTGAGAGACGAGAGGAGTGTGCTTTTTGCGATTCAAAGAAAAAAAGAAAGTGGTGCATTTTCACACCAGCGATTATAACCTAAGCCGAACACAGGGCCCCAAAGAATGAGATACGTGAATAGGGACGAGGAAGAGTCATGGGTTTGAAGCCTTTGGGGAGGAATATTCCCGGGCACTGGCATGTACACGGGCATTTTCTGCTCTAAATCATAGAGAACGGGACTTAAATCCTCTTAGACGGCCTGCAGAATTTCAAGAAAGATAGGCAAATTACTGATGGAATGGAGCGTCAAGACAGTGTATAAGAAAACAATAACGCTTGCCTCGATCGTGCCTTCCTTTAGAGAATCTTCTGACGCTCTCTGCAGATCAGGCTGTTATAAGGTTTTGTGCTAATGTGGTAGTGATTATGTGGGGGAGACTTGTCGACCCATACATAAGATGTTATCAGAACACAAAACCGCCTGCAAAGGTTTATGGATTCAGAAATCGGAAGTGGCTGAACATGTGGTCGCTAGAGGACACCAGAGTGGTATAAATCCCAACGCTTTGCCGGATATAAGGACTTCACAATTAAGCGGAAGATCAGGGAGTCGATTGAAATTAAGAACACAAACAACATCCTCAATAAGAGGAATGAATGTAGGAAATATAATGAGATTGAGAAGGAAAGGGAACAGGAAGAGTCATTAAGTAAGAGAAGACTAGACTAAGCTGGAGCTTGTTTTTGAACCTAAATTGGGGGCTGTTGCCTACACACGCAAACACGCATCCACGAAGCTGTAACAAGACCCAAGACTACTGGATCGTACTGTAGTTTATTAAAAGTTGTGACCACATCCGCTTCCCTGTCTGTATAACTGTGATCCACTTTCATGCATGTAGGACAAGCATATGCCAACCAACCAAATCACGGAATGCCTCATTAATATCGCAAAGTGAGGTATAAGAAGTAAGTAGGATCTCAGATCGCCACCTTTCTCGGTTTAGGTTTTTTGGTGATTGTTCATGAATAATAGTTTCTGACTCTGACGATGTCCGTCACATGATGGACGTAGGCTCAGCACAGTCATCGGATCATAGGAAGATGAACCAAGGCCTTCTTCGTACAATTCAACAGACAAAAGTCCAAGGCAACCTTCCTACGATATCCAGTGAGGCCAACCAACGAATCCCTTCCACCCGCCTTCTAAAACGAAATGAAACGTATGTTAGTAGTGATATTGAGGTTTAGCAGCGGCCAATTGACAAGCGTGTAGGATAAAAAGGGGGACAGAGTGTAGGTCAGGAGCCCTGCAGCGACATCTGGTACCGCTTCACTAAACCCACTTGTACCGACACTCTCTTAGGCGACATTGAAGGAAATGAGAGCATAGAATTGTGTGAATAAATGGATGTAATATCAAGTGGGGCTGAGAGAAAGAGATGCGGTACTAGAAGGTAGAACAAAAAATAGAAGCAAGGTGTCATGCCGCAACGGTTAAACAGAAAATTGGTCAAGGGGATTGCCTTCACTTTGATAAGTTGTAACTTTGTGCTTACGATGGCACCTTTCAATGACGAAGCTGACGAAACATTTGGGAATGTACCCAGCCAATGATCCAATGCTGGAAATCACGAATACTATGGCAGAGGACACGGGATTAGGTAGGCTCCACAAGGTCTTCCTGACGCTCTGACCAAGTTGCGAAAACAAGGTCAAACCAAAACTATAAGGCAAAAGGAGACTGTAACCAAACAGAAGACCACACCATCTTGGTCTTAATATCTACAATTGAATGGGAAAATTGTAGGAATAGGTCAATACAAAATCCTCAAACGGCATGTAGGTTTTTCACGCAATCACCTGTATGCGGTGGTTCAAGTTCTGGAAGGATCAAACGCTTGAAGGAGACGGGTGTAACAGATTCTGCCCCTAGGTAGGTATCATTGAGTACCTTGACTATATACTGGTTAGGCAAAGGCTCGTAGACAGGAGTGACAAAGACCAGAGTGCTTGCTTCTTTTGAGAGAGCCTGTGGTTTCAAACGAAGGAATAAGGAAAAGAGTATAAATGAATATAAATTTATACGATATGGATGCATAAAAATGATAAAGTGTAGGGAATAAATCTTCAGCTGGACACAAAGTAAACTTGAAATCAAACGACAATATTAGCAGTCAAATTTTGCGCCAGGGAGCTCTAATCAAAGCTTGAGTTTTAGTTCCATATAAGATGAAAGGCCCGACAAAGCAAGACCTCATTATATTGCGTAATACTCCTATTCTACAGTATGCAGTAGAGTATTAGGTAGATTAAGCCTCCTACTGTCCTCATTGAGGAATCGATACTTCAAGAAATAAACCGTAATTAAAAGTAGAAATATAATAATATAG